TGTTTATTGAGTTATTTGCCCCATTGTACTTGGTGGAATTAAACTGGAACAAAAAGATAGTGGTTTATGATCACTTTAGGATGAGCAAAACCAAATGTAAACAATACATTTGTGATAACTGTATCTGTATTCACCTTGATCCGCGATTGTCCTCATCACTGGAAGCTTTTAAGGCAGTGTTGTCCAAACTTGGCCACTTTAAGATGAGTGGACTTCAACTCCCAGAATTATTAACCTGTAGCTTGCATTTCTATGCTATCTGCAGGGGAAGGGAAGCGACGTAATTTTTTTTTTTTTTTTAATGCCCTTGTAGCAAGCAGGCTGACAGAACAATTTATGCCCAATATATTTTCTCCTATCTCCTACCCAATTATATTTTCTGGATTCAGAAGCTCAGAACTGGGGAAACTTTAAGGATTTATCACTCAGCACCTGATGTCTGTGTGTCTAACTTTCTCCATTTATATACATGCAAAATCAATTGATCGGTCCCTGAAACCAATACACCCAAAGGAAGATACTAACCTGTCTTCAGAGGTATCTGCAGGGTGTGTTTGGGTGTCAAAAAAAATGGCAGACGCAACTGTGGCTACCATTTTGCCTTTTTTTTTATTCCGCCCCCCTCCTACAGACACCTCTGCCTGCCTCCCCTTTTAATGTCATTTCTTTCTCATGTCAGTAAGAGAGAAGATGAGAGTTTTTTGGAACACGGTGCCTCGCTTGAGAATTGGCCTGCATCTGAAGTCTCCCTAGGCAGCCATACTGCTGTCTTTTAGTTCCCAGACTACACTATTTTAATACTTTTTGGAATTTTAAATATTGATCATTACCTGTTTCGACTCTTGGAGTAGCAGAGATTTTCCGTACTTTATTGCACGCATCTTGGCAGACCACCAAGCCCTCCAAAACGTATTCACCTTGATCCGCGATTGTCCTCATCACTGGAAGCTTCTAAGGCAGTGTTGTCCAAACTTGGCCACTTTAAGATGAGTGGACTTCAACTCCCCCAATTCCCCCCGCCCTCGCGGGTGTCGTGGGGGGTGTTGGGGGGGGGGTTAGCGCCTCTTTAAAGAGAACGTGCTTTCTGATACTCCTCTCTA